CACAACACCTCGGGAGATTTAATTCACCATAGACCGCTCTCGGATGGCCACATGAAGGTATCGGTTGATGTTGTTTTAGATATGAATGCATTGCTACCGATACCTGACATTGTTGCGGAGACCACATTGCTGCGAGATGCAGTAGGATATTTTGTGGCATGGCCATCAGACCTCATCTGCATAGATGATCAGGTATGTTGAAAACCATTATGAATCTTTAAGTATTCAACTGACAGTTCTGACCTAAATTTTATACATGGTAATTTTAGACTCCTGCAAAACCCGCATCTAAGGATAAAGGGATTTTGCAGTGCGGCGAGTCTATTGCATCGCAAAGACAGGTACTTTTAAAGTGTTTCATTTATGATCGGAATAAAAAACTGCATAACTTTGTATCTTACATAATTCTACATGATTTTTAAGGTACCTTCTCAAGATCAGTCGCAGCAGGTGAGCCAGAAAGTTAGTAGGGTTCCACCTAAGAAGAAGGTTCCTGTCCGTAAATTTGTGCCTAGGTATCGACAGTGTCTAGAGACACTAGTTGGCACATCAGATTTGATGAATGATGGAATTCGTCAAATCGATGTGGATGAAATTGTCTTTGGTTTTCCATGTACCGAAACAATTGGATTAGAGGACATGGAACAAATCTTTCATCATCGAGAGTTAGGCATCAGTGTGATGCACTCGTACATCCGGTAACCCGATCAATATATTATTTAATTGGTTGAACATTTTTTTTAAACATTTAATTGAAATAGTCTAATATTAATTATGTTTTTATTTAAGGATGTTATTTGACAAATTGATGCGCGGGAATCAATTGTCAAATAGATTCCGTTTCGTGTCTTCCTCCCGTGTCAGCGGAGCAACAATTTCTAGGGAACCTGATTCAGTAAGAGAACACTTGGTCGAAAGATTCAGGATAACTTCCAGTACAGAGAGCTTGTATCTTTTGCCTTATAATACAGGGTTAGATTTTCATTCTAAGCTCCTTTTAATATTTGTATTTTTTACATTAAAATTCGCTTCTAAATTGTTGCTTTAATTTATAGATGTCACTGGTTGTTGCTTGCAATCAATCCCATAAAAGAAGTGGTCTATTACCTGAATTCGGTTGACGGTGATTGGACAAATTATCCGAAAATGAAGCTAGTGATTGATACGTAAGTGACATTATTCTAAATATTCGTTTGTGTTTATATATTTAATTATTTCAATGTCATTGTTCTAAATAAATATTTTAATTTTGTCATCAGTTCAATACAAGTATTCCGATGTCAAAGGGGAGCACGAGTACCACGGTCTAGATCAAACAACATTAATTGGATCAAAGTACAGGTATATAAATTTCAACAATTTTGCTTATAATATTTATGCTACTTGATAAATCAATAGATGTGTATAATCTTATTTGTTTTTCTATGTAGTGCCCTCAACAACAAAACGGCATAGATTGCGGATACTTCGTTTTGATGTTTATCAAAGAAATCATTCAAATGAATGAAATCGAGATTCCAATCACGGTATGGATTTATACTTTGTTTTATTACTTATCGGATTTTGCATATAATTTATTACATTAAACTAAATCATGCATATATTTTGTTTTGTAATGTAGTATTTTGATCAATACAATTGTCCATATTACTCGCCACGTCAATTGGAAGAACTCAAAGAGGAGTTGTGCCAATATTTTATTGAGCTAAGAATCTTATAATAAGGTACGAATACATTGTTGTGTGAAAATTGGTTAATTATGAATATATTGTTTTGTGTATACAACACTGACCGTGTTATTATGTTCATATTGCAGGATCAGGACCTTGGATATATATGTAGATTATGATTGATTTACTTAGTGTTATATAGCTGATTTCTTAGGGTGTATTTTGTTACGTTTAAAAACATGTTAATATTGAATTACCATGGTGTATATATATTTTGGATATGAATTGATTATAATGGTATTTGTATATATATATATATATATATATATATATATATATATATATATATATATATATATATATATATATATATATATATATATAATATTTGGTATTTGAATTATATTTGGTATTTGGATTAAAACTAATATATATTGGTATTTCTAGATTAGATTGTAAAATACCGGTTTAAGAATTACAGGTTTGCTGCAAAAAAAATGCAGGTTTAGAAATTTTTTAAATTTTATATTTTTCAGTAGAAAACCTATGAAAGCGCTTTTAAGTAAAAAGCGCTCTCGTAGGCCTACCTATGAAAGCGCATTTTTCTTAAAAGCGCTTTCATAGGTAGGCCTACGAAAGCGCTTTTTTCTGAACAAAAAGCGCTCTTATAGGCCTACTTTATACGCATTCTGAATACACCTATGAAAGCGCTTTTTCAGAAAAAAGCGCTCTCGTAGGCCTATCTATGAAAGCGCTTTTAAGAAAAAAGCGCTTTCATAGGTAGGCCTACGAGAGCGCTTTTTTCTGAACAAAAAGCGCTGCTAAAACCTTTAGCAGCGCCACCCACGAGAGCGCTTTTAAGCGCTTTTAAAGCCCAAAAAAAGCGTTTTCGTAGGTTATTTCTGGCATAGTGTTAATAGACCTCTAGCAGTATTGGGGTAAACCTTGCCAGAAGGTAGATTAAGTGCAGCCCCAGTTCAAAACAAATAATAATAATTAATAATAATAATAATAATAATAATAATAATAATAATAATAATAATAATAATCATCGTAATCATAGTCATAATAATAATAATAATAATAATAATAATAATAATAATAATAATAATAATAATAATAATAAATATAATAATAATAATAATAATAATAATAATAATAATAATAATAATAATAATAATAATAATAATAATAATAATAATAATAATAATAATAATAATAATAATAATAATAATAATAATAATAATAATAATAATAATAATAATAATAATAATAATAATAATAATAATAATAATAATAATAATAATAATAATAATAATAATAATAATAATAATAATAATAATAATAATAATAATAATAATAATAATAATAATAATAATAATAATAATAATAATAATAATAATAATAATAATAATAATAATAATAATAATAATAATAATAATAATAATAATAATAATAATAATAGAGTCGGGATCATTCAACAGTGATGTTAAATATTAATTTTGATACCAAATTTCAATTATTAAAAAAATTGATTAAACTGTCATATTTAATGAAATAAAATAATAATAAAAATATAACCTATTTTGTTTCTTAAATAATAAATTCTTTATATGATTGTTTGATCGAATACTATTAACAATTGAGATGTAATGTCAAATTAAATTTTGACACCTTAATGTCATTTGATTATATCCAACAGCGATGATTATGTTACGACAACTATTTCAGTATTTGAAAAGGTTATCTAAGAAAAGCAAAATTGGCAACAAATTCTAATACTATGAGAAGGGAATCAGGAAACTTACTCATAAGTCTTACCAGTAATTCAAAGCATTTTTGAATTTTCAATTGAAATCCATCTTGATTATGCAAAAACAAACCACATATTATGTCAAGTCAAACGATAGGGATTAATGATAAAGCTACAGTCATAAACGAGAACCACTTGTGACGAATCACATGTTATGTTTATGCATATATGTCAAATTTCAAAACGAATCACATGTTATGTTTATGCATATATATGTCAAATTTTAAAACGAATCACAAGACGTTTCGTGAGAAAAACAACTATTAGAAATACATATGGAAAGTGAACAAATAGAACTCTAATATTTTTATTTTTTAAAATAAATTCTCTATTATTTATATATTTTAAAAAATTTAATTAAATATAAAATATTAAGTAAATTAAATAATAACTAATTTAATTAATCCATTTTTATTCATTTAATTATTTTATATTTTCAATTAAAAAAATTAAATATATAAATATATTTAAATAATTGAAATAATACACACATTAAATGGTAGGGATTATTGAGAGAGATTAGTTGTTATGCAATGTATGGATACAATCCTTTACACCATCAATCCATTATAATCATTCGTTTGTTTTACTTTCCATGTAATTAAAATAAATTTTAAGCATTTCTAACAAATCAGTAGTTATAATTAATTAACGGTGTAAATTTAAACAATATCTTTCTAATAAATTTGTTTAAAAATAAAATGAAATATAATAGATTTTGTTCAAAAATTTATTTGAAATAATTTTCTCTTTGTTATAGAGATCAATTTATCCAACGGAATTATCTAGGGATGTCAATGGGGCGGGGCGGGGCCGGGGGGACACTTCCCCATCTTTTTTCCCGCCATCAAATTCATTCTCCGTCCCCGTTCCCGATCTCCGTCACGGGGGAATTTCTATCCCCATCCCCGTTCCCTGCGGATCTCCGTTCCCCGCGGGGATCCCCATAGATCCTACATTTATTCATTAATATTTTATTTTTTAAAAATGTTTATATTTTCTATAAAAATAAAAAGCACAAAGAATTCACATATTTATTATGTTATTAAAAAATACCAGTATTTGACATTTATTATTTTTTATTAAAAATACTAATGGAACACAAAATAATAATATTTTTTTTATAAATTTCTATAAAATGCTATAAAATTCAACAAAATGAACTATAATACTTTTTAAAGTAACAATATGCCTAAACAACTAAAAAAATCCAACAACATAATTATGCTTAAAAAACTATACTTCATCAAAACTAATAAGGGATAATTATAAAATTTAGCATCATGAGTATGCTTGAAAAGCTAAAAAATACTTCATAATAAGTCAACTAAAAGCAAAAGTCAACATATCTCTATTTGCTCAATTGATAACACACGTAAAATAGAAATATCAAAATACTTAAAACAAAGTTACATATAAATAAACTAAAATATTAAGCAAAATATCCAAACAAGTAATGATCAATCATGTCTCTCTTTCCAACTTCTCCTTGCAAGGTCTTCTTCCTCATTCCACAATTAGATATGACTTTCTTTTTCCTACGAAAAGTAAACAATCAATAATTATATTTACTTAAAAAAATACTTTAAAAACTAAAAGGTAATCAACACTAATATGTAAATTACCTTATTATCATCATCATCATCATCATCCATATCTTCATCCACACATTCGAATTGAGTCAACGTTTTTGAATAACCTAAGAAACAAATAGATAAATTAAAATTTAAAAAATCCTTTTCAATTAATCTTGTAAAAGATAAAAATATATTACCTTTTATATCTTTTCGGATCCAATCTTGAGTGCACATCAAAGCCTCTAAAGTGTCTTCCTTCAACCTACTACGTTGTTGACTTAAAACACGACCACTAGTACTAAAGGCGGACTCTGAAGCAACGGTAGAGATAGGAATTGCTAAAAAGTCCCTTGCAATCTTTTGCAAAGTTGGAAATTTCAAACCATTTTGTTTCCACCATCCTAAGATGTCAAAATTTTCCTTTTTTTGTTTATCAAGCAAGACACCATCTTCCAAGTAGGAAGTAAATTCTGACTTGACATTTGTAGTTGAAGTATTTTCCATCACATATTCCGAATAAGCCTTCTCCCAATCTTGACTTGTGACATCAATGTCATCTACCAATGTTGATGCACCAACTTCACTACTTGTAGGAACCATATCATTATTTGGTTGATATTCTTCAACTAAATCTTCACACATTTGTATTATCTTTTCCAATTCTTTGGGAGCATTATTCCCATACATAAGTGGGAAGAAGTAATTCAACAAAGTTATTTTATATCTAGGATCCAAAACAGCCCCTATTGCCATCACCCCATTAATCAAACTCCAATATTTGTCAAACTTCACTATCATACTTCTTGCCATACTTTGTATAGTATCACTAGAAGAATCTTCCCACTTTCTTAAAGCTAATCTTATTTGACAAACTTTGGGAAAATAAATGTTTGATGTTGGATACTTAGTACCGAGAACAACTCAGTGACACTAAAAAATAATTTCAACTTGTCACAAATTTCTCTTGCCATTTTCCAATCTTCTTCACTTGGTGCACACTTATATTGGGAATCACGGCGTTGTTTTAAACGTTTAAAAACTTGTTCGTAAGGCAATGTAGAAGCAAGCATTAAATAAGTAGAGTTCTATCTTGTTCTACAATCTTGTGCAAGCTTCTTTTCATAAGTCATGTTCAATTGATTACAAGTTTCTTTAAATTTCTCCTCCCTCTTTGGTGTTGCTACCCAAAAACCGACACTTTCCCTAATCTTTTCAATTGAACTAGAAATTGTTTGCATGCCATCTTTCACTATCAAGTTTAATATGTGGGCGCAACAACGCATATGAAACAATTTCCCTTTTAAAATAAAAGAAGAAGGTGACATCTTATCAATCAAATGGTCAATCAGAGCATCATTGGTGCTACAATTATCAACGGTTAATGTTGACAATTTTCTATCAATATTCCAATCCATCAAACAATCTACCAAAAAATCATAAATGACCTCAGCAGTATGTGGCGTAGGGACATAAATGAACCTAAAAATAAATTATAATAAATATCACATAAAATAACTATATTATAATAATAACGTAAATGGAAGGGAGAAGTTACCTGATGATCCGATTCTGCAAAATCCAATTTTCATCAATGTAATGAGCTGTAACAGACATATATCCTTTGTTCTGGTTGCTAGCAGTCCACATATCAGTAGTTATTGCAATGCGGCTTTTATTCTTTGCAAGTATTTTCATTTGCTTTGACTTCTCACTTTCATACAACTTCATTATATCATTCTTCATGGTGTTGCGAGAAACTATCTTGAACAAAGGTTGAAGAGAATGGCTATAATTTCTAAAACCAATATGGTTAACCATCATGATGGGATATTCATGCAATATAATCATCTTCGCGAGTTCATTCCTAGAAACATCTTGATTAAATGTATAATTTCCAACCACAAATGATTCATGTCTGTTTCCGGATTTTTTTTCTGTCACTTTAAGCATGGCTTGTTTTGGACCTCTCTCTGTGCGTTTTGGACATATGCTAATATGATCAAATAAATGTTTAGTACCATTTTTTGTATCACCACCAATTTTCTTATCACAAGATTTGCATATAGCCTTCCAAATGCCTCCTATTTTTTGCCTTTTAAAATAGGGCCAAGCATCTGATTTTAATCCCCTTTTGTTAGGACTTGTAGTGGGTTCAACGGGAGCTTCAGGATCTTGATTTTCTATATTTATTTCATTTGGAGTAGATTGAACTTCCTGTGTGAGTGAAACTCCACTACTTTCTATAGGAACTTCATTCCCTTCCAAAGCAACATTAGGACTATTAGATGATTGAACTTCACCAACCATTCTTTTACCAAAAACCTGGCACACACAAACACAAATTTTAAAAGGCTACATGGAAGTAGAACAAAAATAATAAATATATGAAAAAATAATAAATAAATGAAATAGTAAATACATGAAATTCACACAAAAAATAATTAATAAGAAAAATCTTATATTTCTAAATATATGATGCATTACACATATTTCTAAATATGCCTTATTTACTGTAAGTTTTCAATTAGAAATAATAACATATATTAATTAATTATATACATTGAGAATATATTTATTTACCTATATACATGATATATTTACTCGTGTAAAAAGTTATATGTTATTATTTCACTTAATGGCTTTGGTTTTATAATTAGAAATATAAGATATATATTTTTTTTATGGGTGATAGCATGATATATTATTGTTTATATGTTATTATTTCATTAATAATTAGAAATATAAGATATTTGATTTTTTTTATGGGTGATACCGTGATAGCATGATATATTGATTCATTTAAAAAGTAATATTTTTTTGTTTAATATAGAAAATTAAATTATAGTGTGATATATTAATAAAAAATAGGAAAAGTATATTTTAATATTTTTTAAGGAAAAACTGACGATATTATTTTAATTACAAATGCATAGTATAGATAAAAAATGAACACAGAAATATTTAAAAGGAGATAAAAATGAGTAATTTTTTGATTATTTTATATTTTTTTAATATGCAAATGATTTGATAACTCTAAAATTTCTAAACAATTTAATTTAAATTTAATCAAAATAATCAACTTTTCCTATTAGCAATTATATGAACAGGTTTATGAGAATCAAGGAGAAACAATCTACTTTTTTCTATAAACAATAATATAAACAGATTTATGAAAATCAAAGAGAAATAATCTATTTTTTCCTATAAATAATTACATGAACAAATTTATGAAAATCAAACCTTATTGATGAAATTGTAAGAGCTGTGAATAATGGAAGCACACCAAATAGAGAAGATGGAATTGGAAGATGAAGATGAATGGAGATTTGACTGGAGAAGAAAAAAAGGAGTCTAACGTGTGAGACTCTAAATGTCTGGTAGAAGAAAATGAAACGCTTCAACTTTTTTAGGGTCTAATATTTACATTTCTCTCTCTTAATAAATACATGAATATTTATTTATTTATTTTTATAAATAAACATAAAGGAAATGACTAAAAAACCTAATCTAAAATATATATATTAAATTAACTATATTAAAATAATAGGCGGGGCGGGGTCCCCGCGGGGCGGGGGGTGTATTCCCCGTCCCCGTCCCCGAAATGCTCTCGGGGGAATTTTTCTCCCCATCCCCGCCCCCACGGGGGAAAATTCCCCATCTTTGGGGCCCCGAACGGGGCGTTCCCCGCGGGGATCCCCATTAACAGGTCCAAACTGACATCCCTAGAATTATCTAGTTTAAATTGGTTTAGACATGCGGTTTTACCAGTGAAACAATAATGTAGTGGAAAGTACTTTCGATACAAGTGACTCGATTTTCCGCTCAAACCAAGGACTCGACTCATAATACCATTGTTGGGTCATCAATTCAATAGTCAACACGAGGGAGAATTTTTCACCGAGACATTATTTTATAAACAACAAATCTTGTGAGAGACACACTATATACTCACTCAAAACTTTAAGGTAATAAGTGTGTGGTCTCTCTCACTTATAAATGCTGAAGTCTTCACTTTTGTAATTAATGTGGGATTTCTCCATCCTTAGTTTTTCAACATTTACTACTCACATATGTTATTCTCAACATACATTGGGTATGCTTTTTTTTACTAAAAAAGATATTCATTTATTCAAATTGAAAAATACGTCGATCATTAGAAATTCAAGATTGCTAAAAACTGGAAAAAAAATGAATCTGCAAACAATCTTGCAGCACCTAGGTTAATAGCATACAACGATAACATGAAAGTGCCTACACATATGAACAAATAAAAGTAAACAGAATATTCGTATTTCTGAATCTGCAACACTGGCGCCCAAGTCTTCATCAGATCTGTAACGAGTTGAAGTGAAAATATCAATCTGAACCAACGAACATTGTACTAAAACAACAACAAAAAATCAACAAACACTACACAAGACAATGAAAACTTAAAAACACAAAAAAAATATAAGTAAATATACGTGAATAGCAGTTTATTTAAGTAAAAAGAGGGAGAGAAACATGGTTGAAGAGTAATTTCAAGTCAAAAATAGCCAAAAGTCATATTTATGATGGAAGAATGAAAAGAGAGAAAAATTGAGAAAAACTTTATACATTGGATATGCTTAGAGATGTACCACTACAAAATAACTTGTGTTTTGTCACGTGAAAGCCACGTCGCTAACACCCAAATCACATCACTATTCAAATTTTGCCACCTTAAGAAACACGTCGCTATATAGCACGTGGCAATCTTGTTGCGGCGTGAAAAGCATGTCACAAAGTTGCCACGTGAAATTCACGCCGCAACAGACTGTATAAGATGAAAGTGTGCAGAGCAGAGCAATTCACATTTATATTTACGTTTGCTGTTGCGGCGTGTTTTTCACGTCACTAATTAGTGACATGAAAAACACACCGCAACTTGTTTTTTAAAAAATAAAATATTTTGTGTTTTAAATATATTAATTTTGTTTTAATAATTAATATTATTTTTTTTATTAAATTTATAAATTAAATATTATAATTTATTTATTAAATACAATATTATAAATCAAATTATCAAAAACAAAATTAAATATATCTAAATGTATAAATAAATATACTTAATATTATAAATTTAATAAACTCAAATTTAAATTTATAATATTTTTAAATATACAATATGATTATAAATTTATATTACACAAATAAAAAACTAATACAAAATAAAAATAAAACTAAGCAGAATCATTAGACGTCGTTGGAAAAGTCGGGAAGAAAGTCATCATTATTTTGGTGGTTATTATTTTGGCCACCACTGTTGGGATTTCTACCAAATGCTTGCATAAATTGTCACATTTGCTCCTCCATATCAGCTTGCCTCTTCGCCATTGCCTCAATTTGTCTATTATGTTCACCCCTCATTGCCTCCATTTGGGCATCCATTTGGGCCTTCAATGCCGCCTCGCGATCTTCGGACTCGCGTCTAGCCAATTGTCTTACCAGTTCTAACTGATCTGGTGTCAAATTTGTTTGACGTGACCCTCCTTCACCGTTTGCAGCTCTCTGATACAAATTTCTATCCCCACTCTTCAAGGTGCCCGCCAAATTTCCACCACCAAAAAAACACCTGCTAGGCCCATTTCCCCCAACAACTTGACTCTGAATATAAAAATCCATATCGTGATGAACCGGTTTTTCTGGAGGAGGCGTATACTGAGGATTATGGGTCAAAAATTCTACAAGCAACGCCTGATAATCCTCCTACACATACAATAAAAAAATCAAGTTAAATTTATAAGTAACATTAATGAAATTAAATGAAATAAAAAAAATAAAAAAAATAG